AAAAGCCAAAATGTGCACTGAGCGATATTGATATTTTTATAATCACATAAAGCATCAATATTTAGTAATATGTATGCATGTCATGTATTGAATTATTTATTAGAAGCACAGTAACAGGCTCTGAATAAAAGCATTTGCAACCTGCATGAATGTGAAATCGAAAGTGTCAAAGCTACTCCGCATAAAACCAGGTGTTTTGCAACATTTTTTCAACTCAACCTACCATTTAAGAGGCGTTCCCTCGTGTTCAAACCACATTTCCTCCACATCCTCTGCCTTCATGACTTTGAGAAAATGTTTCTTGACTTTATCAGTGACTAGTGTCAGGTAACTGACCCGTGGGAGGAGCAGCTGACAGATTGACAGAAAGAAAAAAAAAAAACAGCACAGGTCAGGTGACTTGAAAATACCCATTTTACAACACTAACAAAGTGTCATATTACAGGAACACAATTAACTTTTTTAGAAATAGGCTCATTTTACTACTCCCATAGAGTTAACTGTTGTGTTTTATCAGTTTTTGATCTTTTGAGAGCACAGTTAGCTTAGCTTAGCATAGTTCATTGAATCAGATTAGACCATTAGCATCTCAATATTAAAAATTCACAAAAGAGTTTTGATAATTTTCCTGTTTAAAGGGCATCTATCATACAAAATTAACTTTCGGATGCCGTTTGGACAAAACTGTGTGTAGGTATAGTGTGTCCACAGTCATATTGGAGTAATATAAACACAACAAGTGTCTTTTTCTTAATATCCTGATTTTAAAATAGGATCCAAATTCTAGCAATTTTGAGACCCACTGCAACGTGACATAGCAGTATAATTTTTCCCACCCACCGATATTGATTGACAGTCACTACTATGTCTCAGTTTAAACGCATATAATCATGTTTGTAGGATAGGATTTGCAAAGAAACTGGGAATAAATCTCTGTTTCAACTTGCTGTGATCAAACTGCACCTCAAAAAGCAGTTAGTGGATAACTTTGTATTTTTTGTAGCTTTTTGAACTGTACTCTTTGAGTTATGTAATTCATAAACGCTGTTATAAGTGTACACAACTATAAACGAGGACGCTTCAATCACACAACAGGAGTCCCGGTTTGTGGTTTATATTAAACAGTTACTTAGCTATAGTAAATCACTAAACAGCAGCATATTTACCCATTTTGTAGGCATCCTGTCACATTTGCTACAAATAGATGAGAAAAAACAGCACAATGTATTATACATGCACCTGCTGGAGCCATGGTACAGCAGCTAAGTTTCCTGATTATTATGCTAGAATAAGAGTATAATTACTAGCCATATTGACCTGGAAAAGGTCAACTTTTTATTTCTTATTAAATAATATAACTACAGAAGAGTCAAGCTTTACATACGAAAATTCAATTCAATTCAATTCAATTCAGCTTTATTTGTATAGCGCTTTTACAATGTAGATTGTGTCAAAGCAGCTACACATAAATGGTCATAGTAACTGGATCAGGGTAGTTCAGTTTTTAGTGTTTAAGTTCAGTTCAGTTTAGCTCAGTTCAGTGTGCAAACCATATATGGTTAAGACAGATGTTAATGTTATTACCGTCTTCTTGGACATCGTCATCAATATATTTTCATATATATTGTTAATAAATTGCATACAAAATAGACAACAGTCATTACTACTTCATATACTATACTATACTATACTATACTATACTACTTGGCGATCGTGACGGGCAAATGGGGAACACTGTTTCCAATCACCATTAAATATAACAGACTGAACGGTTTTCTATCAGTCATCAAAGGTGTTTAGTCATTATTTATCTGACAGAGTCAATATAGCAGATACTCGTTTGCTGGCATTGCTGAAACATTTTTCAGAGATATATAAACGATCTAAATTAGTCAAGTTTAATTTACATAATGGATTCATTATATTGAAGGAAATGTAATATGTAAATATGTATAGACTATAATACATCTTTAGATGTAATACAAATCATTTTACATGTAATAAATGCATAACACTATATTAATAGTTTACTACAGCGACTGAATAGTATTTATTTGCTTAATTTTCTAATACATTTTTATTAAAGATTTCCCACATTAAATACTATAGTAATTTTATTATTGTTAAATAGTGTTTTTAAACCATAAAGTACTGGTAATTTAAGGTAATAATAGTTGCAACTAATATAGTGATACAAACTAATTAACTGTTAATAATATATATATATATATATATATATATATATATATACATACATACATACATACATATACATATATACATATATATATATACATATTTTCCGTTTTCCTTCTCTTTTTTACAATTTAACAACCAAATGAACACTTATGTCTATTCAACTGATTATATTTGAATTACATTACAACATCAACGCTGTAAGAACCTTACCAAAATGAAAAAGCTTTTACTGGAAGTTCATCATTGGCTAAAAAACACTAGCTGAGCATATAGCCCATTATAAAATCTTAACTGTTTAACTCATGGCGGAGTTGTAAAATGGGCCTATTCCACAAAACAAAAGTCAAGCATTCCTTTAACTTACATAGTAGGGTTCTGCCTCTCTCTCTGTGGTTTCGTCTGGAGACAGTGTGAAACAGGCGGGTATCCTTCCAAACCAAACATCTCGAAGCACATCCTTGTCATCTGCCATTATCATCGTTCTCCAAGTGACACATATAATGAATGTCTTCAGCTACCAATCTGTTCAAAACAGAGACCATTGTGTAAAACATTCAATATGTCACAATTTTAAATAGTACAAGGAAAAGTTGACTTTTTGTTATACATCCTTTAATAACTAACTAATTTTAATAACTTTGATACCTTTCTATTGCTGATTATTCATTTTTGCTCTTATACTTGTGTAAATTGCTTCCTTGTCCTCATTTGTAAGTCGCTTTGAATAAAAGCGTCTGCTAAATGACTAAATGTAAAATGTAAATGATTGAACACAAAAATATTTCAGAAAATTTGATTTCTGGCTGACAAACATTTTGAGACATTTATCAAAAATTTGTTTAACTTATTATCTTAACCTTTATTTTAAATTAACAATAAACACAGCATGTCAACTTAAGCAATCAATGTTTTCCTGACAGTACCTTGTTTTTGTTTTGCCTTAAACAAATTACACTAAAGTCAAATACACGATTTTACCAAAAAAAAAACGTTGTGTTAATAATATTCTATAATTTATAAACTTTCTGAAGAGCAATCTATTGTGATACAAATAATAATAATAATAATAATAATAAAATTATAATAATTATAAAAATAAATTAGCCACAAACAAAATACATTTTATAAGCTGTATGTAAGCTTTAAATGTCACAGAACAAACATTTTCAAAATGGCTGCAGCATTTACACTTAAAAGAGGAAATTTAAATATAAAAACACTAACGTTGGCTCTGCTAACTTGGGCTAACTTACTGTTAGCATTTAACACTGTTTATGACAAACAGCACAGGAACGAACAACTTTAAAACGACACATCTTTAAAAGACCAACTTATCTAATGTGTTTGAGGCATTTATTCGCCTATCTGAAGGTGTCAGACTGATAATGTGTGTAAATAAATAAGGACTGACAGAAAAACACAGCACTCGGAGACACACCTTTGGAGCTGGTAACAACACCATAACTGTCTCGATTACAAACACTACTGCATCCAAACGTAAGTAAAAGACACATAATAGTAAATTACATTCATTAGATGTCGACAGGAAGCATTACAGTTGAGCTCATCTTCAACAGCCAGCGATGTCATGCAGCCCTAAGATGGCACGAAACTTCAAAATAAAGGTCTCCACATGTCGATTTATTTTCAAAATAAACGTCACAGTGCATTTAATGTTTTCCACAATAAAAGTTACTCGACTGCTTTGCGTTCATGGTTCATACCATTGGTTCATACGTACGTACTGCATGTAAATGGTAAATATGCATGTTTAAGCTATTTGGAAATAATATGATATGAAATAATAACAATTATTAAAACAATATAATTTTTGGAAAATATGCTTAACGTGAGCTTATAAAACTAGGTATTTATGAGAAATGCACATAACTAAGAAAATGCTAGAAAAAATAAATAATAAAATAACAATATAATAATAATAAATGATGATGATGATGATGATAATAATAACAATATTAATAAAAAAAGTCCTGCCAGTGCACTGAAACGTATAATATACTTAAAGTAACTTCCCTCATTGACTAAATTTTGACACAAAATATAACTTCATTCATTCATTCATTCATTCATTCGTTCATTTTCTTTTTGGCTTAGTCCCTACAGGGAGGGACATTCAACATGCAAAATCCAAACAAAAACGCCAACTGACCCAGACGAGGCTCGAACCAACAACCTTCTTGCTGTGAGGCGACAGCATTACCTACTGCGCCATATGGAAAAGTATACCATTTACTGTCTTTTTCTTTCTTGTATTTAATTAACCAATTAATTTTGAATGTATTGTTTAAAGTTTTAAAAAATGAACACCGATAACCCACCATTGCATTTTTGTTTACACATAATTTTCCATTTTAAAATAGTGATTTCCATTACTCCATAAAAAAAAATATATTGTATTTTAGGAATAGCCTAATTATTTCTTCATGTAGGACATGTTCCAGGATAGATGTCACTCCATGATTGCATTGGCAAAATCACACCCACCTCTTAGAGCCATTAGTTTTTCTGCAAGCAAACACCTTGACTTGAATTTGATCAACAGGGCAATCGGCTTTTCGCAACCATAATTGATGTTCTCCTGCTATTAATAATAGGCTAATAATACTCAATTTTAATACCCATTTTATATGATAAAGAGTTCACTTCAGTCCAGTAGGTGTCACTAAATGCACGCCTAAAAGAATAGAGCAAGCGTTGCACAATGCGCATGCGCAGTACTCGCTATCCATACTGCGCATGCGCTTTACTCACATGGACGCAGTTTCATCGAGACACATTATTTTTTCGTAGTATTTTACGCAAATCATTAGTTTTGTTTATTGCTTTTTGATACAAGTACAATATATGCTATTTTTAATTCATCGTCTGCCTGCTTTTTGTTGATAATATCTTCTAACACGTCTTAGCATGTCTATTGTTGTGGATGTTTTCTACAGCAGTTAAAGTTCTAGTTTAAGTTAATCTTTCAACTGATCGTTGACTGTAAATGTATTAAGAGACTTAAGTTCAGAATTATAATACTAGTAATAGTAATAATAATAGAGTGATGGAGGCTCCGCCGGTTACTGTGATGCCCGTCACGGGTGGAACTATAAACATGATGGAGTATCTTCTGCAAGGTAAACAACACCATCAGCACAACTCCTTTTACCATTCATTCATTCCTATTTATCATTTGTTACACTTTATTAAATAGTTTTAACTTAGTTTTTAAATACCCATTATGAGCAATCTCAATTTTTTAATTAGCAAAGTCATTTGAATAAAGCGTTGAATATGTTAAAGTGAATATGTAATTATAAACAATACACACACATTTTCTAGCGTTTTAAACTATTTTTATTTAACGCACCCTAATCTTCTTTAATTCCTTAAGACTTTTAATTTGGGATTCTGTATAATAAAAACATGTACTACAGTATTACTTTATGAATGTGCTAACGTTATATAAAACGAATAGTTTAGCATAATAATAGTATGTATACAATGTATTCATTGTAGTGTTTGTAGTATTATAATTTACAATTGTTATAATTTAAATTATACAATTATAGCATGCACTGTGCTACACGAGAGTTCTTTTTGCTGAGTCTTATTGTTTGCATAATATAGTTTGCTTATTTGGTCATATATTACCATTCCTACTTAAACCGTTACCAGATTTGTGTGTGTTCGGAGTAAATACATTTTTAACAAAATTATACAGCTAATTCATAAAGTATAATCAATAACACTTTCAAAATATGGTCTCATTAGTAAATCTTAGTTCATACATTAAAACAAAAAGCCACAGTGAGGGATATCGACATTTATTACAGTTAATAAGTTAATGTAAGTAAAAAAATACAACTGAAATGTATTATTTAATAACTAAATTTATTAAAACAATTACATCTTTTTTTTAGTGACTTATTAAGCATTAACTAAGAAATTGACACCACATTGCGAGAAATTGTGACATTACTTGAGACAAATTAGTCACAATTACAATTTTATTTTTATTGATGTATAGGAACAGGCTTAAATTATCTATCTATCTATCTATCTATCTATCTATCTATCTATCTATCTATCTATCTATCTATCTATCTATCTATCTATCTATCTATCTATCTATCTATCTATCTATCTATCCATCCATCCATTCCCCTATCTATCCATTTATCTATCTATCTGTCCGTCCGTCCGTCCGTCTGTCTTTCTGTCTGTCTTTCTGTCTGTCTTTCTGTCTGTCTTTCTGTCTGTCTATCTATCTATCTATCTATCTATCTATCTATCTATCTATCTATCTATCTATCTATCTATCTATCTATCTATCTATCTATCTATCTATCTATCCATCCATCCATTCCCCTATCTGTCTGTCTGTCTGTCCGTCTGTCCGTCCGTCTGTCTATCTGTCTGTCTGTCTGTCCGTCCGTCCCTCCATCCGTCCCTCCCTCCATCCATCCATCCATCCATCCATCCATCCATCCATCCATCCATCCGTCCATCCATCCATCCATCCATCCATCCATCCATCTATCTATCCATCTATCTATCTATCTATCTATCTATCTATCTATCTATCTATCTATCTATCTATCTATCTATCTATCTGTCCGTCCGTCCGTCCGTCCATCCATCTAATCTTCCATCCATCCATCCATCCATCCATCCATCCATCCATCCATCCATCCATCCATCCATCCATCCATCCATCCATCTATCTATCTATCTATCTATCTATCTATCTATCTATCTATCTATCTATCTATCTATCTATCTATCTATCTATCTATCTATCTATCTATTTATGCCCCTAATCTATGCATCCATCCATCCCACCCCCTATCTATCTATCCATCTTGACTTGGCTGTGTTCTGTTGGTTTGTTTGGCACAGGCAGTGTACTGGACCAATCTCTGGAGAGTCTCTTGCATCGCCTCCGGGGCCTGTGTGATAACATGGAGCCTGAGAGCTTTGCTGATCACGAGTTGGTGTATCTCCTGAAAGGTCAGCAGGGCAACCCGTTCATCCTGCGTGCCCGCCGCTCGCTCCTCGACCCCTCCGTCCCCTGGCACCTGCGCTATCTGGGTCAGCCCGAGGTGGGCGACAAAAGCCGTCATGCCCTGGTGCGGAACTGCGTGGACGTGGCAGCCTCGCACAGCTTGCCTGACTTCCTCAATGAGATGGGCTTCCGCATGGACCATGAGTTCGTGGCCAAGGGTCAGGTGTTCCGGAAGGGTGTGATGAAGGTGGTGGTGAGCAAACTGTCGCGTGTGCTGGTTCCTGGAAACACGGATAACACGGAGCCGCTCTCTCTGTCGTATCTTGTTGAGCTGAGCGTTCTGGCTCCTGCGGGACAGGACACTGTGTCTGAGGACATGAGGAGCTTCGCAGAACAGCTCAAACCTCTCGTTCACCTGGAGAAGATTGATCCCAAAAGACTCATGTAGAGAACATGACCTACAGACTGAGATTTTTAATTCGGTGAATAGGTGTTAAGACTGCATTTATTTGGAATATTTTTGATGATTGTTTTCTTTTTTTGTAATTGATGAAATGCTAATTAAAATCTTTAAATAAAAATATTCATTCATTCATTCATTTTCTTTTCGGCTTAGTCCCTTTATTAATCCGGGGTCGCCACAGCGGAATGAACCGCCAACTTATCCAGCAAGTTTTTTACGCAGCGGATGCCCTTCCAGCCGCAACCCATCTCTGGGAAAAAAATAAAAATATGTATTTCAAAAATGTTACTAGTTTTAAACGGTATTTGTCATGTTGTCTCTCTCGCCAAGGTAATGGAGATTTCTGAGACGTTTTATTTCAGTATAGACCTTTTTTTCTTAGAAAGCAAAGTTACCCATTATGCTTTGCATGTATGCTCAAGGAGAATGCTTAGAACTTCCGGTCGGCAGCTGATGCATATAAACAGTCAGTTGGACAGCTTTGAAATGATAGTTTTAATCTATTTTACCAGTTGTTGCTAGATCGGATACGTTTGCGGCCGGAAGTTAACAAGAATTAATTATATTATTTATTAAATTTCCCACTTATTGTATTTTATTAACGTCTACCCCCACCCCAACCCTAAACCCAACCATCCCAGTAATGTAAAAACAGTAGATGTACAGAGTATTATTTATGGTATCTATTAAATTACCCAATAAATTGTATTTTTTAACGCCTACCCCAACCCTAAACCTAACCGTGACAGTAAAAATATTAATAAAATAAAAATATTAATTATTGTTATACAGCGTCATAAAAAAATGCTGCTATATTAATGTGCATATCACACTTCCGGCCGGCCGCATATCTGATCTAGACTTTACCTATTTTCCCTGCTTTTATCATCTTGGAACTAATCCTGTTGTCGATCAGCGCCAACTTCGAGATTTTAAAAAATGCGATCTAATAGGATGGAAAACAACTACTGTGAGGCGTTTTCCCCTCGTTTTCAGAAGCCATCCTGTGCCATTGAAATGAAGCTTCGTCATCGCTAAAGTCAACATTTTCTCTTTCTTTCAAATATATAACCATCCCAAACAAATGTAATTCACCAAAATGTTTGACACACACACACACACGTAGCCTGTACTCTTCCACTAACACACTGATTTAATATCTGTGACAAAATGAAAATAAAGTGACATTTTGAAATGACACAAACTGGGTTAAATACAACACACTAAATAAAACATAAACAGCTCGCGATTAAAATCAACATGCAAATCAGCCAGCAGAGTATCAATAACAGACTTTTATTGCTCATTTTAGTAAACTGCTTGGCTTGCATACCTGTTAAGTGCATGCCAGTAATCTGGTTTGTGTGTGTGTGTGTATGTGTGTACATGTTTTTGTGACATATCAGGACACAAATCTGTATAATGACATGGGTATGATATTACAAAAAGGGGGTGAAATATGAGGACATTGGTGACGTCCTCATTTCTCAAAATGCTTATAAATCACACAGAATGAGTTTAATCAGAGAGTAAAGCTGCACACACTCTCCTGTGATGGTTGGGTTTAGGGGTGGGGTGAGGGCAATACAATATATGGTTTGGACAGTATAAAATGAGTGGAAACCTATGTAATGTCCCCACTTTTCACAAAAAACAAGCATGTGTGTGTGGGTATTGAAGAGCCGCTGAGCTAACAGCTGACAGGCCGAGAAAACACACACACTGTATTTCGGAAGGCAGACACGTGAACTAGGATAATGTTTTTCTCTTGCGCTTAAACCTCATCTGACAGATCATAACAGCTTTAACACATACCTTTCACAGTTGTGTGTCACAAAAACACTCTGTAATACAATAAAAACGCTATTGAAACCCAAATTATCTGTTGTAAACGCTGTCAACGGAAGTTCTACTGGAAGACGCTGGTCACTATGGTGCCCTCCATGCAGCAGCCAAGAAAAAGCCAACAAATATGTTGATGTGCTTCTGATTAAGGTCCCTATCATACACCCGGCACAATAAGGCACAAGATGTGTTTGGCCGAAGTGTTGCTATTTTCAGACCAGTGCAACCCTAATTTTCACATATTGTTCACATTGTTGGTGCGTTGCTATTTGGAAGAACTAAAATAGACTGAGCCATTGACCTAGTAAAAGCTACTCTAAAGTCCAGCGCAAAGCGTGTTAGTTATGCGCCTATGCAGGTCCAAACGCTTACACATTACTTAATACACACAGGATGTAAAGCAATACACAAATATTTTTACAAATGACACAAAAATTAAACGATTAAAATATTACAAAAATGATTATTTTCTACATAAAAAACACTGCCTCTATGCCTCACCTCGGTGGCTTTTTTCAGTTCATTCATGACATTTTGCATTTGTATTATGTTGTTGTTATTATTATTAGCAGTATTATTTATTATACGCGTATTTATATTTGTTTTAATAAAAACAAGTTTAGATTTGTCCACCTGCCAGGAAACACACTTCGTTATTATTGTTCATTTATTTGTTTGCTTTAAATTAAAACTCAGTGTGCACCCTGTGTGGTCTTCTGCTGCTGTAGCCCATCTGCCTCAAGGTTCAACATGTTGTGCGTTCAGAGATGCTCTTCTGCAGACCTTGGTTGCGAGTGGTTATTTGAGTTACTGTTGCCTTTCCATCAGCTGGAACCAGTCTGGCCATTCTCCTCTGACCTCTGGCATCACCTTTGTGCCCGCAGAACTGCCACTGGATATTTACTCTGTTTCGGACCATTCTCTGTAAAACCTAGAGCTAGTTGTGCGTGAAAATCCCAGTAGATGAGGAGTTTCTGAAATACTCAGACCAGCCAGTCTGGCACCAACAACCATGCCACGTTCAAAGTCACTTAAATCACCTTTCTTCCCCATTCTGATGCTCGGTTTGAACTGCAGCAGATCATCTTCTTCTTCTTCTTCCTGGTGTTTATTGCCGGTTCGCATTCTTAACAGAGCATTACCGCCACCTACTGTGGGTTATGGATCAGAGACTCTTTTATTTTCATTTTATTTATTTATTTTTTACCTCTTGACTCTTCAAAACCCGAGCCTTCGATGTTGCTGCGTGTTCAGCTCCTCCATCTACAGCTCAGGTCCTTCACAGCCGAGACATAGAAAAACATATTATAACAGATCATCTTGATCATGTCTACATGCCTAAATGTGTTGAGTTGCTGCCATATGATTGGCTGATTAGAAATTTGCGTTAACGAGCAGTTGGACAGGTGTACCTAATAAAGTGGCCGGAGAGTGTAAGCTCCAGCTTTCAACTCTCATTCGAACTCATTGCAATGTTTAAAGCACAAATCATCTAAAACTGACATGACTTCATTATACTAAAATTCCCTTCATAGTCACCAGATCTCAATACACTAGACTAGAGCGTCTTTGGAAGGGTGATTTGAATGAACAAATTTGGGCCACAAACCTCTGAGGAATGTTTCAAATCAATGTTCTGTATCTTTGTTAGCATTTCGAATGAATATTAATGTTCTTTGGTCACCATGAAGTCAGGGCCGAATTTTCAGAAAAAAAGACTATTTCTGAAGATCTGGTTTTCTGAAGAATAATACAGACGTGTTACGAAATGAATGAAATCAAGCCCATGTGATGGCTGCTTGTTTATGCAGAAGTGATGGGCTACAGTGAGCGTTTCTGCCCTGTAATTAACCTAGATTTGCTCTGCCTGCCCTTGGGAATGCCTGGAATGAAGCGTGTTAAGACCGTGACCTCCGTGTTTCTGCTTTTCCTTGACAAAAGGATGCGCAACACATGATGCATTGTAGAAAGCTATAAAGAGAACACCCAGTTGACACCCTAGTGCTTTAACGTGCTCTTGTGTTGAGCTTGATAATATCCTGAGTGTGAGATCACAGTTATTTGCGCACATTTCTGGGTTTCTGTGGGTGTATTGTGTAAGGCGAATGTGGCCGTGTTGGGTGGAGACAAAGACAAACTTGTATGTGGATTTGGATTGCGGTGAATTATGTCACACTCGGAATGTCTAAGTGTGTTTCTACCCTTCAATCCTTTAATTCTATCCTTTTTCGCATTTGTTCTGTAATGTAATCAAGGCTGTCCTCTGTTCCTTATAGCAAACTCAACTGTCATGACTGTGCAAAGAAAACTGGTTTACACTATATCTGTTTATCCACAATTGGTGATTCTTGATGGTAATTATGTTGTCCTTAAAGGAACAGTCCACTCTGCATAATAATAAAAGCATCTAATAATAATAAAAAAAAAGTTTCGATAACTTAATTTTCTATTTAAAACTTAGAACACAATGTATCTAGAGAAGAGTCCAGAAGATCGGATGAATAAATTCAACACTCAAAAAAAAAAACTTTTGCTGCTTGTACAAACTACTTGTTTCAAATGAGTTAAAACAACACAATTTTTAAATTTTTTTTTTTGGGGGGGGGGGAGGGGGGGGGCAATTATTATTTTTTTTTTTTTGTTCAATCCACTTTAATTTGTAAAAAATAATTAACTTAATCAATTTGTGTTGGGAAAACATGAAGGAATTGTGTGGAACCCAGATTTTTTTTTACAGTGAATAATGGTAATTTTTTAACATGTCATTGCATCAAACACATTCATTTTTATAATATATATATATATATATATATATATATTAGAGGTGTGAACCTATACTGGTCTCATGGTTCGGTTTGGTTACGATTATCATGCCTTCGATTTGGTTCAATTCGATATCTCGGTGCATCACAGTGCATTGACGATGCTTTCCATATACAGTGTTATATTTTAGAGGGGAGGCTATAACAACGTGTCTGTATAACCACACAGTACCACACTGTCTCTCATTCAAACACATACACAAACATAGACAGCAAGAAACAAACACACACACACACACACACTTAAACCCTCGCAACAGGGAGAGCTCGTGCTGAGCGGAGCAGAAAAACAAAAAAAACGGAAAAAAAGAAGCACTTTTCCGACGGCCCCTTACTGAGAGCTCCTCTCAGCGTGAGCTCTCCCTGCTAAACACATATTGCGAGGGCTTAAACGGAGCAGTGCTCGTAATGTCGAGCAAAAAAAAAAGAAAGACAGCTGTCAAACATAACCTGCTTTGTATTTTT